TTAGCTGTTTTACTAAATAGTTTACTTTAAATGGCTTTCCAAAACATTTTTACTCAGTTAAAACTCTTTGTTAAACTTTCTTGCATACTGAGTGTATCTTTTCAAACCCTGTTACAGTTGTGATTTCAAACAAATGTTTTCCTTATACTTTACGCTCCTCTTATCAAACAAATTGCTTTCAAATCGTTTTAGAATTTGACATCAAGTCATCCTTTCTTAGATACTAAACTTTTCAATGGTTTTACAAAACTTCTTTTACGCTTTTATATTTTCAATTGCATGCCTAGATATGTATAGTTATATAAGTAATGTTTAAAGGACTTAGGAAGGCTAACCCGCTTTATTTCCTTTTCCCCGTTGGGATGTGGTCTGGTAAGGTATCGGGTATCCGTCCGAAGGTCGTTTAAATATCAGTTATATATCATGTGTACATATATAGTCATAAAGGTTCTTCCAGTCAATTCAATACTCTTGGGTAGCAAGGGTATACTTCCATGCTCATACGTACCAGTTACATTACTAGTAAGCTACCATATGGGTAGTTTAGGAAGATACTAATACGATTACTAGAATGTGGAATCATACCACGAGTCAATTCATTCATGAGTCTATACTTGCTAGAGAGAGAGACACACACATTTCAACTGGTACACATAGTACATTACTATACATGCTAGATAGATAGAGAGCACACATTACAACTAGCACACACAGAACATTATAGTACATACAGGCTAGACAGAGAAAGAGTACACTTTACAGTTAGCACATTCATTACATGTACTGTCATGCAGTTATGTGAACCATTAAACGGGTCATGGCAATTCCTGCCATGACCGTTTTTGTATCCCGAATCTCCTTAATTGGGGAGCGTATGAGTTTGCGTATAGATCTATACTGGATTGACTAGCCTACACCTTGTTGCTCGCTACAGTGGGACTTGCAAGTCTACGGGTGCCAAATGTCATTTCTTACGGCGTCTTACATCGTCATTTTACTAGAGTCAGTAGTAGAATACAGGTCGATCACATGTTACTTTAAATTACAATAGATTTAAGATAGTTAGTATAGTTGTAGTTATTTGATATTACACCATAGTACTATTTCATATTCCCATTACATTCACTTCGTGAACTTTCACACGATGCACGGTAATGTAGAAACTATATTTTGGTAAATGATAGTCAGATTAGGGAAAATACACACTCTTACAAGAGACACACACATAGATACTAGATGCCTTGGTAGAAGATTAATTTCAGTAGAAAGCATAGGGCTTTCTAGGATGTTCAAAACGTTTTCATACTTACATTTCATATACGTACAAATACTTACTTTTCTTATACGTACAAATACTTACATACAAATTCAGACACTAAAATACTTATGTTCTCACCAGCTTTAAAGCTGATACTCGCTTTCAAAATAACTTGTATCCTCAGGTCAGCAATAGACAGGTACCCATGCAAGGTTTAGAGAAGATGGAGCTCGTTCAAGACTCATCTTTCATTTTGATTTATACGTTAGTGTCTATTAGACATATCAGAACACTTGTATTAAAATTATATTATTAATGCAATGGATGATGTTGTTGCTTGTTTACTACTATTCAATGTTGTGATACTGTACATGACGTCCTCCGCCCCAGAACGTTTCCGCCGTTCATGGTTTTGGGGTGTGACATATATGTAAATCTTAAGGATTATTTTAGTGTTTATGGAGTTATTTACAGTTACAACTTACAAATAAATTAACAAACAAGTAATAAGCATCTGAATATTTCGAATGCCAGAATTGATTTATACATACTAATAAAAAATAAACTTACATATAAAAATAAATAGTTTAATCCAGTGAAATAGAAATGTTAGCTTGTTAGCTTGACAACTTTACAGCTTTACAGGGAGTAGTCACATTGCAAACTATAGGGACTAGGTTTAATCACAATTTTATGCTCTTCTTTATATGTTAAATAACCGAGAAAAAAAAATAGAGAAGAGGCAAAAAAAGGCTAACTACATTACAATGGGACTTTGGGAAAACCGATTAGGCTCCGACATTCGACCAAGACGAATGAGAGAGATAGAGAGCATACCATAAACACATGCGACAAACACCTGAAGAGCATACAAAGGTAGCAGCGATCTAAGCGGATGGCATTGTTCTTTCAGTGAGTTTTGAGAATTGAGATGTATTTCATGGTGACAAAAATATGATTTTAGGTTTATAGTTTTCTTAAACTCAAAGTTAAATGGTTGTAAATTTGATTGTATCTTTAGATTTTATTTATTTTATAGATTTAATAGGTATATAGCTTCTTTATTTACAACAGATTCCTAAAACAAGTGAATTAGTTTTGATTTGTGATTTTGCTTAGTGATTTTCTGAAAGTTTTTCATCGGGTATTTATCGTCTTAGTTAAAAACTAAGTTGTAAAAAATAAATGTATTGCTTATACTTAAAAATCTGGGAAAACAGGGGGCTAAATTTTCATTCTAGTAAATATTTTATAACTTGGTGATATATATTCAGGTATTATAAGCTTCAAAAGCAGGGAGGCCATGGCCTCCCCTGGCCCCAACGAGGTTCCACCACTGCTCACAAGGGTTACTCAAGGGACAATAATAAACCCAAAACAAGCCCTGGACTAGAACTAGCACATAGAGTGTGTAACATCCCGACTCCCATATATAATATTTAATTATTTTACATTCTTAATTTCAGAGAAACTCAACGAGTTGGATGTCCCAACTCGCCGAGTAGAGGAGTTAATGGCCACATGATTTTTTGAGTCTACTCGACGAGTTAGGGGACCCCAACTCAACAAGTAGGTGCTGATAGGGGTTAGCATTTGGACCGGTGGACCGGATCCGACTGGTGAACCGGACCGGACCAGACCATTTTTTTGGACCCTCGGGCCGGTTCTCGGTTCTAAGATTTCTCTCCGGCCCGGTCCAGTTTTTTTCCCAGTTCGGTCCGGTTTTTACCGGGTTTAGAACCGGTTGGACATGATTAAGATTTTTGTGATGTTTTTTAAAACACCTATAACTCATTCGTTTTAAGTCAGATTGACTTGCGGGTTTTTCCAATATTTAGTTTACAGTTTGTAGATGAATTTAGACTATAATTTTGTTTATTTTGGTATTATATTCACCGCGTTACAATCCTTCAAAGTAGAGCTATCAAAGCTGAAAAAATTCAGCTTTTCAGCAACATTTTGTAATCTGTGATGTTTTTTAAACACCCATAACTCATTCGTTTTAAGTCGGATTGACCGGAGATTTTTTCCAACATTTAGTTTACAGTTTGTAGATGAGTTTAGACTATAATTTTGTTTATTTTGGTATTATATTCACTGAGTTACAATCATTCAAAGTAGAGCTATCAAAGCTGAAAAAATTCAGCTTTTCAGCAAGATTTTGTAATCGGTAACGTTTTTTAAACACCCATAACTCATTCGTTTTAAGTTGGATTGACCTCTTGTTTTTTCCAACATTTATTTTATAGTTTGTAGATTAATTTAGACTATAATTTTGTTTATTTTGGTATTATATTCACTGAGTTACAATCCTTTAAAGTAGAGCTATCAAAGCTGAAATATTTCAGCTTTTTAGTATTATTTTATACCTTAATTATGAGTCCGCGTTTAGCACATGTGGTAGAATTGTAAGCGAGGATCAGACTAGTTTATCGATATTGATAGTTGAAGCTTTGTTATGCACCCAAGATTCGGTGATAAAGTCTACAAATCCGATAGTTGACAACGTTGATGACATCTTGAACGATGATGATATAGCTTTGGGTAAAAAAATTATAATCTTTATTCTTTTTTTATACAATTATTATTTTTTATTAAATACTAATAACATTTTCATTTGTGTTTATGTAGAGATTGCATAAGATTTAAATATGTTACATATGGATGATAATGATATGGGGAAGAGACCAATAGAAGATTAGATTATAAGTTTATGAAGTTTATTAGTTTGATTGATTTTAAAGTTTAAACTATGATTTTTATTGTTACGGTAATACTTTTTTATGTTTGTCTTAAAATTGTTTGACTTTTGTTAGTGAACTTGATTTACATGTTAGTTGTTTTTATTTGGAAAAATATTTTTTGCAAATTGCAAGTTATAATATTATATATCAGTGTAGATTAGTTAGGCATGAAACGGAAACGTATTAATTTTGCAAGTTATAATATTATACATCAATGTAGATTACTTATTATACTCTATATAATTAAACTTGTATCGGTCCAAACGGGTCCAAAAACCGGAAAACCCGGACCTGGACCCGAACACGGACACGGACACGGATACGACTCATCCGGTCCGATCCATGGTCCACAAAATTCTCCATAACCGGTCCGGTCCGGTCCGATCCAAATGCTCACCCCTAATTCTCTTGCACACATGGTGAAGAATGTCTCTAGATGAATATTTATCCTATTTTATCAAAAGTAAAACAATATACTTCACAATTGTATCAATTTGCTTAAAAAGATATTATAAACATTGTTTGAAATAGTAATGTGTTAAAAAAGGATGTTTTTTTGTTTACCGTTGGTAAAGGAAACTTAAGGATGAAGAAGATGAAAATTCGGATATACAAAGTGGACTCTCTCTCTCTCTCTCTTGCGGCTGGTTAGGCCCACCATCCCCATCATCCCAGCACAGAGAGGGAGGCCACCAGAAAGAAAAATTATGAGAAGAAAGAGATAAAGAGACTTCTCTCTTCCTCTCTCTCTATCTCTGTACAATTTTCCCACTTTTGATCTTTCTCACATACGTTTCCTGCTAAATTTATGTGAAATTTTCGTTACCCAATTCGATTCCACATGTAATTTCCAGGAATTTTATCACAAATGCCCCATGTTTCAATCCCAATTATCGATCCAGTTTTTTGGTTTGTGGTTGTTCCTCTCTTGAACCACTTCCAACCCGTTTCGATTTGGTAGAAAAAAAAATTCGGTTTTGTTAATTTAACCCACGAAAATGACGACGAGAGGGAGCAGATCGGAGAAGGTGAGAAGAATTTTCCAACAATTTGATTTTAACAGAGATGGTGGTCTCAACAGAGAAGAGATGTCTGCCCTTGTTGTCGCTGTAAACCCTAGGGTGAAATTCAGTGACGAACAAATCAGCGCTATCCTCGACGAGGTTTTCCGAACGTACGGCGACTTTATTGACGGCGAAAAGGGCCTGACTTACGACGGTTTGTTGCGTACGTACGACGACGGCGCCGGTGACGTCGACCGTGATTTTGAGGCACTTGCGCTTGAAATGAAAACGGATGACGATAATGAAGCCGCGTCCTCTTTAGCTTTAGAAGAAGCTTCCACTTCATCGGTGCTGGAAAGGGCTTCGTCTGCCGGACCACAAAAGTCACACCGGACGGCAGCCTGGGCGGCGTCGCCGAACCACGGAATTATCTTTGACGACACATGGAAGCTCGTTGACGATTTGGAAATTCTGATCAAGAGGTTAAAGTCGAAGCAAACCAAAGACGGAAAACCAAAAGGGGAAAATTTCGATGTTTATTCCGATCCAGGGTGGTCGAGAGAGTTAGGACCATCTTCTGAAATTGATAAACGCATCATTTGGGAAGAAAGCGGCCATGATTATGGGGTTTTCGTGAAAGAATTAGGAGCATTGAGGTCAAGAGCAGATGGGTCAAGATCAAGAGAAGAAGCATTCGATGGGCATATGGCTCTTGGTAGAGTTTTATACGATCAACAATTATTCAAAGAATCATTAGTCTGTTTCAAACGAGCCTGCGAATTACAGCCCACCGACGTCCGACCACATTTCCGGGCTGGAAACTGCTACTACGTCATCGGCCAACATAGCGAAGCCAAAAGCGAGTTCATTTCCGCCCTAGACGCCGCCGAAGCCGGAGGTAACCAATGGAGTTATCTTCTTCCTCAAATCCATGTAAATCTCGGAATTTCTCTCGAAGGCGAAGGTATGGTTATAAGTGCTTGCGAACATTACAGAGAAGCCGCAATTCTTTGCCCCACTCATTTTCGCGCATTAAAGCTTCTGGGTAGCGCTTTATTCGGGGTTGGAGAATATAAAGCTGCCATTAAAGCTCTAGAAGAAGCTATCTACATGAAAAACGATTACGCTGACGCTCACTGTGATTTAGCTTCAGCTTTACACGCCATTGGAGACGATGAAAACGCCATTAAAGAGTTTCAGAAAGCTATCGATTTGAAACCAGGTCATGTGGATGCTTTATATAATCTTGGTGGTCTTTATATGGATATGGGGAGATACCAACGAGCTTCAGAGGTGTACACAAGGGTTCTCGGAGTCTGGCCAAACCATTGGAGAGCTCAGCTCAATAAAGCAGTGTCATTATTAGGCGCAGGTGAAACCGAAGAAGCTAAAAGGGCTTTGAAGGAAGCTTTAAAAATGACAAACAGAATCGAACTGTATGACGCCATTTCTCACATGAAGCAGCTTCAGAAGAAGAAACTGAAAGGAAACGGAAACGGAAACGGGAATGGAAACGATGATTCCTTCGTTGTAGTGGAACCATCGAAATTCAAAACCATAAGTGAAAGAACCACATTAAGACATGATCTCGCTACTGCTCTCGATATCCGATCTTTCCAAAGAACCACAAGATTAATCCGATGTGATGTCGATCTTCTCAAAAAGGAAATGAACGAAAACGAAACTCCATTGACATATTCCGGAACCGGATTACCTGAAAAATCAATCCGGAAGGCGGCTTTAGAAAGTGTTCTTCGAAGATTACTTGGTTTCTTAAAACCGGAAACATTCGTAGGCTCCGTGAAAGAAATCAACCTCAAAATCCTCACTGTTTTAGATGAATCGGAATCCGGAAGGGTGGATTTAGGTATGTTTTTTGCTATTCTAGCTCCAATTTGTGGTGGTTCCCCTGAAAAACGAAAAAGAGTGGCGTTTGATTCTCTTCTTTGGCGACCAATAAACGAACAACAACAAGGGGCAACAAAAGGTCAAATCAAAAGAGTCGATGCTTTACATTACATAAAGTTATTGCGATTAGTTTACATTCCATCTCAAGGAACAAGCGAATTGCTTGAAATCCATGGAGGAACCGATGATTCCATGGTTTCATTTACAGAGTTCGTCGCCATGTTTGATGATTCCGATTGGGGTTTTGGAATCCTATCGACTTTATTAAAGCTTGAAATTTCTGATCGGAATCGGCATGGGAAACAATCGTGTAGTGTTTGTAGGTATCCGATTATTGGGTCGAGATTCAAGGAGATGAAATCGGGGTTTAGTCTCTGTGGTCAATGCTACAGTGAAGGTAAAGTGCCGATGAGTTATAAACTCGATGAATATCGATTTAAAGAATATGTGAAAGAAAGTGATGCGATGAAGGATAAGTGTATGTGGTTTAGTTTGCAAAAGAGCTCATCGGGAGGTGCTACTACTAATTTGTAGGTTTGAAAACGTCGTCGTGTTTATATATATTCTTTTGGTTGTTTTGTTGTGTGTTGTTGATAAAGCTAATATGTCCATGTGTATAATAAAACCCTAGGGAGCCAAAAACTTCCCTGAATTCTTTGTTTAACTACCCTGTAGATGTATTCTTTCTTATTGTACACGTTGGTTTTGACCCCATGAGTATGGTGTATGATATGACATGGTTCTATTCTATCTTTTGTTTGTGAATTTATGATTTTTTGTGTGTTTGAACAATTTGTGTGTTAAACTTAACGAGAGAACTACAATACTATTATGTGATGTTTTGATACGTGCAAGGGGAGCATTATAAAGGCCACAAGGGGTTGTATTCCTTGATTTTTTTGATTAAAAGTAGTCCATAGTCTATTAATTTTTGTATATAAAAGGCCTATAAATATAAAATTTGAGCTTTGAAAAAAAAAATCGGTTTTTTTATGTATAAGAACACGATAATTTTAGTTTCTAATACTTTTGGTCTTTACATTAAATTACCGATTAAGACGAGGGCAAAGGATGGTCTTTACAGATTAAGACGAGGGCAAAGGATGGTCTTTATCTTGGTGACATGATGAAGTGGTCACATATTGAAATCTTTGGTATGTAGACAAATGTTGGGTTGTAGGGTATGGACGTATATATGAGGTTGGTGGAAATGAATACAAAGACTAATTGCTATAAATGAAAAGTGCAATTTTCATTGCCAATTGTACAAGTCCTTAAACAATTGTGTAGGCTGGCAAAGAGAAATAACAGCTTCAATCAAGGATATAATAAGATTTGGTTGGTTTGTTTGGTTAGGTTGGGGCATTTAAAATAAAAATAGTTGACTTCTGTAGTTCTGTTTACTCGATAATACAACATTTGATGCATGATGTACTACACGAGTCTAATAAGTTAGAGTCTTTGTGGTTGGCATGACCTTATTTGGCTGGTTTAAATCGATTAAACTAAAATTCCCCTTAATCAACGGGATTGTCTGCATTGTGTGTCATAATGTACTAATTATTATTTAACTGTTTAGTATCATTGTCCTGGTTTTTTTTTTTTTTTTTATAATTATATGGTTTATGGTGTGTTTGTGTAAATAATAATTTGAATCAAATAAATAATTGAAAGAGCTTTCTTCTTATAAAGGTAATTTGTACAATTTAAACTCGTTGTGCCTTGTTGCTATTTGATTACTCGTCATGCCATATGGAAGGATCATCTAAATGGTATCGGTATAAGACAAGTTGTTTAGCAAATAGAATAGGTTGGTTTTGTCATTGAATTTAGTTCAGATTTTGAGAATTTATGAATAATTGGTCCACAAATTTTAATTATTGGTGGTATTGTGGAGGGACCAACCCTTTTGTCATACAGATGCCACATCGGTTTTTTCTATCGCACCATCCACGTCCAGTTTTCATAACCCTCCAAACAAGGAATCATCTTTCTCAACCCTTTTAATACATATTATATTTCAAATTTTTTTAAAAACATTTACTTAAACGATATTTAAAATCGTAAGTACTAAAGTATGTGGTACAAATATTAAGGGGTGGTTGTTTAATCTTTTTGATTCAATTTTTAGATTTTATCTTTTTCAAAAAGTTAAAATAAGGTAAAAGATGTTTGGTAAATATAAAAGATATTTTAAAACTAACTTTTCATAAAGAGAATTATGAGCATTTGGAAAAGTCACATATGTGTGATTTTTTGGAACTTTTGAAACCTTCACACTTAAATGACTCACATATACCTCTAACTACCACTACCAAACACTTTTTAAAAACAACTTTTGACTTTTGCTTCTCAAAAGCTAATACAAACACATTTTTAAAAACATCTTTTGTAAAAAATCCTTTTACAAAAATCCTTTTGCAAAAAGAACTTTTGAAGGTAAAAATATATCTCAAACACCCCCTAAAGTATATAAGAGAATGAGAGATATGGGTTGTGAATGATCACCAACAGAGGCGGAACCAAGAACTTTCAGTAATAGTTGCATCAAAAAAAATTCCGATCAAATATGATTACATAAAAAAAATTAAAACTATTGGTAAATTAACCAATCCATTACATCTTAAATTTTAAATTTGATATCTACGTATACTCATTTTGTGAAACCGATCCATTACATCTTCGATCTTATTCCAACATAAGAAATCGTGACATTGTTGCAACCTCGCCATTTTGAACCCTCCACGGAACCGTGACCATATCGATACATTCGGTACCTTTGGCACCACTTTGAAGAAAAGGCTCCACACTGTGCATCCTTAGGTGAGTTTTATAAAGATATGTCCCTAGTTTTGTTTAAGAAAAGAGATTATTGCTATTATAATCCAACAAAAGTTTTGCAAAATATTAAAGATCTTTTACTTTATTTACATGCATTATGAGGGTATAAACTAAAAAATGACATGATAATAAAAGGATAAGACCCTTTTATTCCTAGTTACTAGGTATTACCCAACGACATATTAGATGATGTGGCATATTTGATGTCCACATAGATGCCACATAGACTCCACATGTGAGATTAGGGTTTATAGAGAACGATATCGAGTGATTGCTTGGATTGAAGTGGGAAAAAAGAAGGAGAATACAAACAAGGTTTTCGGAGTTGGATATCACATGCATTCGTTCGATGGTAGCTCCACCAATACTTATAGTTATGTAAGGTTTGCTAGTAATGATCATGTGATGGTGTTGAGATGTGCTTCTCTTTTTCCATGAAGACGTTTTACACCAATCAAATATCGTAAGCACACAGTAGACACAAGAGTGATTGCTATTTTTGTGAGTTTTGTTGTTGTCCCCTTCGATGAGGGTTTTGTGAGAACAATATCGAGTGATTGTTTGGATTGAAGTGGGAAAAAGAAGGAGAATACAAAGTGATCTATTAGGGTTTTCTTACGGTGTACATGCTCATCAATGTATACATAAGCAATACATCTAACTTTCTTAATGTCAAAGTACACTTCAACAACAAGAACCCGAATTACCCCTTCACATTCATGAAATAGCCTAAATGACAAAGTGTTATTGACTTTATACCCTTATAATGCACATAAATAAGATCAAGGACCTTTTAAAATATTTTACAAAAATTTATTGGGTTATAATGACAATAACCTTTAGAAATTCAACACATGATATATATGCTAAACAACTATGTATCATTTTTTTTTTAAAGTAAATCTAAACTACTCTTAAACTAATCCTAATTCATATTTTTGAAAAATATTATAAAAGCCACTTTTGTAGCCAAAGACAATTTGTATATTTGTTTGATAAACATTATGTAACACCGTAAATTTACAAAACAATTTTCCGCAATTATAAAAACATAATTCATTTGTAAATCATAAAAACATCATTGTTTGGAACTCAATTTATAACATATAACAATCCCAAGATCTCATAGCATAAAAATCTCGTGTGTGTACTGATCAAGCCGGCTCCTTCGCGCGATCCTCACTAGTACCTAAAACACATCACAAAACATTGTAAGCACAAAGCTTAGTGAGTTCCCCAAATACCACATTTAACACATATTAGCCACTCGAGGCTATAACTCTGTGGGTCCGTGCACCCAAACTATGGAACCCTCAGGTTCTAACTCTGCAAGCATGTACATCATAAATCACATAGATGAATGCAATGCAACAACAATATATATAAAACACTGTATCACATAACTCTATTTACCTACTTAAGGTAAAGTATAGTGAGAATACTCACCTCGCGTATCTCGGTAAATATCTGTCTCGGAATAAATGTGATCTAGCCTCCGCCTAATCACACAAAGTAATATACTCATAAATACAACTGAACTCAACCCTAAAGGTCAACGGTCAACGGTCAACTTTGACCGGACTCGGCGAGTGCACTAGGACGACTCGGCGAGTCTATACATGTCCACGGAATCCCTTGGACCTTCTCTTGACACGCCGAGTACTTCTCTGACTCGACAAGTTTCACGTGGCATAAATCGCGGGGACACCACGACTCAACTCGCCGAGTCTCAAGAACATCTCGGCGAGTTCCGGCTTGACTCAGTCCCCCCCCTGATTCTCCTTGACTCACTGAGTCGACCCCTCAACTCAACAAGACCACTCACTGAGTGGTTATGGGCAAACTTCATGCTACTCACTGAGTCTATTCTTCAGACTCGGCGAGTCCATGTCATACATAAACTCAAACTCGCTTCTGAGGTCAGATCTATTCCATAAAATCATAGATCTGGCCTCCCCAAGCATGATAATCACGTAAAGTCCAAACCTTGGTTCTCAAACAAAAACTATTTGCTCCTAAATGATGTTTTAGCCCCATATCTCATAACTCTAGGTCAAAACTCCCATGAATCCTCATAAAGGTTAAGGAATAAAGCTTCTCTGGACCTCTATGGATCCCATCTCAAGCCTCATCACAAATAGGGATGAAATGGACATCAAATCTAACCAACAAAGGGGTCAAGAAACCTTAAACCCCCATGTTCATCATAACAACAGAAAAGGAAGCCAAAATATACCTCCAAAATGATGCTCTGAGCTCCAAAAATCGAAGTATGTCCACCTCCCTTGCCTCCTCTTAGCTAGAATCTCCTTTGCCTTTCCAAACCAAGCTTCAAAAGTCAACAATGGCCTCTTCTCTCTCCCAAAATGCTCAAAAGCTCTTTAGGGTTTCTCTCTGGGGTTGGTGGCCAGAAATGACGGCCATAAGCCTATTTAAATAGGTCTCAAACCCTAGAAATTAGGGTTTCATTAAACAGTATGGACTCGCCGAGTCCAGACACGAACCCGCACACAAAACTGCGATCCTACTCGGCGAGTTTAGACTCCAACTCGCCGAGTCCCTCACAATCCCCCAAAAATAAAAGAATAAAAAATAATACCTGGGAATTCAGGATGTTACAATTCTCCCCCACTAGAATTAGACTTCGCCCTCAAAGTCTCACTCCGCAAATAACTCCGGATGCTGCTCACGCA